AGTACAAGTGCACAATTGATAGCTTTGGCATCAGAAATGACTGATTAATGACTCGTTTTTCCTGTTAAACTTCATTCAAGAAAATTGTTATTTTATATTTTTATCATTGTTAATACATATATGTTCATCAAACAGTCGTTTGACTGAAACATGTATGCAGAAACAATATCAAGAGTAGGTAGAAGGGGAACTTCGTGCTTGTAAATGTATTTTGTTGTTTTTAAAGTGTCATGTGGCATCAAATTCATTACTGTATCAAGCATTATCCTTCGTAATACGCATACCACTGAATGAAGTGGGAGAGGGAGAAGAGTGACACTGTTATGTGAGCAATCTGAAGCTAGACTGTGATCACCACAGATGTTGTGTTGAGAGTTAGGGGTCATCTGTTCGTATTCTTTATTCCGTATCAAACAAGTTCAACTACACAGCCTGAGTGATCGTGTGATGTTCCTGATTCAGTTGTGGGTTCACAAACACCTTACAAGACTTATGATTTCAAGTCCATCAACACGCGTCACTATCATATTAGAAGTGTGTGAGAAGAAAACTATAGAAGTATACTTGTACTGCACTAGTTATGTAGCAATAAAACCTTAAAACGTGAAGGAATTGTTATAGTTATCAGTTCGAGAGCAACAGTAAACACGTGTGATGTCTGCATCACATGTACAAACAGGAACGGGCTCATCGCCGCCATTTCTGAATGCCAAACAGGAAACATGTATAATAAGACATTTTGACCTTAGTGCATCACAGGGCATCACAACAATATGTCCTCTAACATCGTTGGTCCCTCAGGATGTATTTTGCGGAAAAACTTGATCTTCTGTCTCTAACTGACATAGTGCTTAGCTACAAGTGAAATAATCACCTCCGAATTTAAGACAAACTCACGATTATGAATACAATTATCGGGTATAAAAATATGTTTTTTTAATACAAGCCATCTTTACACAAGGCATGCTCTAGTTACATCAGGCCATGTGACTTTTGTTGTAAATTTCTTGTCACTCAACAATGCCAGTTGAATGTATGGCTATTTTCACCTGCGAACAAGGCTTTCAGCTCACAGAGGGTTAGACCAAAGAAACATCTTAGAGGGTTAGACCAAAGTATTCATCTTGATATACACTGAAGTTCAATAAATGTTCCATTCAACGTCAAACACTTGGGGTATTGTGTGCAATCGTAATAAAAAGATAATACATCAATGTAAAACCATGGCAGTGAAATTGACCTTCATCAGTATTTAATATGCCTATGAATACCGCATCTGAAAGACCGAATAAAGTGCAAACATAGATTTAATAATGAAATTGTTATAATTTGAGTATATACTTCAGACTATATTGCATGCAGTAGCCCTAGTGATTTGTGTAGCATAAATTGATCAGAATGATCAGCCAACAGAAAGTTGAACAGTGATACATACATATCCCAAATGAATGCTTTGCGTGTTGGATCAACAACTTGTGTCAGACTAGCTTCACAGTACCATTGCAGCCACCACTCACTCTTCACTTAGGCACCGTAAAATGTTTAGAAGGGACGTTTATAACATCGTGTTCTGTAACATGTGATTTGTAGTATTGTGTTATATATTAACATGTTTTAGATCATAATATCCGTTTATGTAATGACGTTGCAAGGTACAGGGTGTAACCATGACCAAACAACAATTACGCTTATGCTGCCGATGTGGCTTTATGTTTAAACCGTCTCGCTCATTTGCATTAGACTAAAACTACGGCCGAAGCAGAAATCAACTGAGCAGTATCTTTGGTTTAAGATGCATAGTCATTCAGTTAATAAACATCCAATAATATATCAGAAGAGTATTCTCAGGCAATTATGGGATGAAACGTGTGTTACAAGAGTTAATATATGCCAATGTCGTCACATTTTAGATGCAGCATTTACTAACATATGATGGGCTACAAATAAAACCTTTAGCATGCCATTGACAGTGTGTATGTGTGGATCAGCTTGGCGAATCAGAGATGCAGATCTCCATTAACTCCTTCATCACCAGTCTCCATACACAGGAACACCTGTTCAAAAACTCATGATTGTCATAAGAAGCGATTTACGGGATCGACTGGTCAGGCTCACTGACTTGGTCGACACATGTCATTGTATCCAAGTTGCGTAGATCGATGCTCATCATGCTGATCAATGGATTGTGTGGTCCAGACTGGATTATTTACTGATCGCTGCCAGCTGGACTGTTGCTGGGTGCGGCCTTAAGAACAAACACACGATGAACGAGGAGACAGGATAATGTTCAAAGAAAGTGGAAGAAAACAATCATTTGTTATTTACACACGGGTAATTCAAGATAAATTTCCATGCACATCCCGACTAGAAATACACCTGGCATGACCCCTGATGATCGCCGACAGGCAATGGACCGATTCTGTTCTTTCAGCAGCATAGGTACACTATATTCTTATCAATGTTTTAAAGGAATCCTCATTTTGAAAGCGTTTTCAGAAGAATACCCTGGGTTCGACTCAAAACCTGTTGACTATTGAGTGAGTGAGTGAGTTTAAGGTTAACTTTCAGCAATATCACTGCGTTGGGGAATGGGGGAATCGAACCCAGGTCTTTGGCGTGACAAGCGAACGCTTTCACCACTAAGCTATCCCATCGCCCCTTCATAATGAGTGAGTGAGTTTAGTATTACGCCGCACTCAGCAATATTCCAGCTATATGGCGGCGGTCTTTAAATAATCGAATCTGGACCAGACAATCCAGTGAGGAACAACATGAGTATCGATCTGCGCAATTGGGAACCGATAAAATGTGTCAACCAAGTCAGCGAGCCTGACCACCCGATCCCGTTAGTCGCCTCTTACGACAAGCATGGGTTGCTGAAGATCAATTCTAACCCGGATCTTCACGGGTTTCCTCATAATGAGCTAATGTTACTGTCAGGATTATACTTTCTGTTCCATGTTTCACAAAACCTGACAGAATAGTGAATTAGTTTAAAACACACCAGTCGCAACTATGTAACAAGAAGTGTTAATCTGACAGTGACATGTTTATCTATAAAGAAAGGGCAGTGAGACATATGTGTATCACAGATTGAAGATTCAACACACTGACGCTTCTAGGCTCAAATTCATTTCAAAATTTCAAAAGTAAGCAATTGAAAACTCACAACACAATCACCCAAAACATCATTGAACACAATATATAACTGAAACCTAGACTACTTCAAAAATACACTGCTGCCATTCCATTAGATCCATTTTAGAAATCTATTGACGTGTATCTTTCGTGTCGTGCTTTATCTCTGTAATGTGAAGTTAACATGAAGTAGTTTAAGCTTTAAACTTTTTAAAATGAACATTAAGAGGCATTTATTATTGAAACCTTTAAGTGAAACGAGACAATGTTCAGAACACTAGGATTCATTCTTGGAAACAAATTGGCGAGAGAAAAACACAAGTAAATAAATGTCTTTGGCTTTTTAAAATATTTAACATGGAATGTATGAAAACTACACATAGTTTATTGTTACATGACGTCCCGATTCCGTCGAATTTGGAATCCGCTTTGTGTCTCTTTTTCGTGGGAACAAAGGAGAGAAAAGTATTAGTAGGAACATATTGGCAATTTTTCAACCTGCGCAACATGGATGTTTCAACTGATGAATGAGTAAGAATTAACTCCGAAATAAAGAAGTTCACATCCATAATTCCTTGCCATTTTTTCCATGAAGTGGCTCATCAAATACTAGCAATGTTTTCCTCCATTGCCTTACAGATGTAAATGTCTCTTATAACATTTACTTATTCACTGACTTTCCTAACAGTAACATATGGACCATGATACCTTTCAAGGACTGGGTGACAAGAGATTGGCGAAAACATTGAAGCCATCTTGGATTCCATTGTTTCAAAGTAAATGTAGCCTCCCTTACGCCATGACAGTTGTTAAGATGAAATCAGGTTATATCCAAGTGGAATATGTGCCAATTTCAAGATTGTAAACAGTTGGTTTTTTCATAGCATTGTGTTTCTTCTGGTAGATAACGCATGGTCTAGTATGCACGTCTGTATTCCGTGTCCCGCTATACTCTGTCGATTTTAAGAAACCAAAATGGCGGACATTGACACTGTGTGGGAAAAGAGATCATGACCACTTTCAGATACTAATGTTCAATATGCCGGCCAGTGACCAAAAATTATAGAATCAATGCTCCCTTTCGTTATGGCAACATTCTGATGTGAATTACACAAAACGCTAATGCTGGTATTTCAAAACAATTTTCAATCTCTCTCTGTTACCCCCTTGTATTAACACGTCAATTGACATATAACGCTATCTGACTTCTAATTTAAGCAAGTGGTTCAGATTTGAGACACTCCTATCTGGAGATATATGGGTCATTAGATAAGGGAAAGACCACCAAAGCAGCCATGGACGTTTTTTAAAGTTGTCTTCGTGTGTCTTTTGTGTGGCGTTAAACTGACGTCTTCCACTACAACCAGTGTAGATAACAGTGACATGGTGAGACATTTGACAATGTTGCAAAACACTTTGTCATTTGTTCAGTCTCAGCTGCAGTTAACCCAAGCTGAACAGAAGTCGACCGCAGATGAATTAAGAGCGGTCAAATCTGAGCTCAGGATGGCAGAGGACAAAATTCATAACATGACAATTCAGATGCAAGATGTGTTGGCTGAACAGAACGCATCTTTGTCAGAATACAGATCTACCTCGGATGAACCTACTGATGAAAAGATAAAACGGGCGACGACAGAATCATCTCTGGATACTCTTCAGAGACACGTAAATAACCTGCAAATGGAACATAATAAAACAATCAACGACCTTGATGCTCTGAAGTCTCAAATTGGGGCAAGGCAGGTAAGGCTAGAAACTGAGTTCAGCATTCTCCACACAGACCTGAAGATTGTAGAAGGCGATCTAGCTGTAGCCAAATATTTGAGTTCACATCAAACAGCGAATATACACAACATTAACACAGATTTGCGAAACCTTCAAACAGAAATGGCTAATGTAAAGAGTGTCAATTTGGATTCCGTGTTGTTCAAAGTCAAGACCTCTAAACTGGATGCAATATCTGCTGACGTGAAGACAACTGCAAACAAAGTGACTATCCTTGAATGGAATCTTCACAGGGCTAACAATGACGTTCTGATATGAATTCAGATCTTTGGAAATTAGCTTCAAATGTGACTGAATTTCAATTCAATGTGTCTTCAGAATTGAGTAGGCTCAAGACATCTCTCCTTGGAGATGGAAACCGCGAAGCATTACAACAGGACATCTACCTGAAGCTCAACTCCACTTCGGATGTCCTGGGAAACATGGAACTTGCAGTTGCGTCCTTGGAGACTGGGCTGGTGTCTTCAAGATATGGTATAAATGACCTTAATCAAACACTGCAGTCCCTCATGCACAACGTAACAAACATGACAGGTACGTACGATTGTTACTGTTAGTTGTTATAATCAATATAACCACTCAGCGTTATACTCTTAACACAACCATATTAAACAAATGTAGTTTATGTGGCTAAATTGTAGCAAAACCGCGAGTGACAACCACCGTGGGTCGATTGCTCACACGTTTTAATGTGTATTTGTTTTCATAGAACAGGTGATTGTGTCTGCAGTCACTCAAAGATATGTTAAGATCCGGCTTAGACGTGGACATCAGCAGCTCATGTTTGTCGTAAGAGACGAATTGGTTGATGAGACACTTGTCGTCGTAACCCAGTGGCGTAGATCAATACTCATGTTGTTGATCACTGGATTGTCTAGCCAGGACTCGATTATTTGCAGACCGCTGCTCAACACAACATACATGCAGTGACTGGACAAATGAAATATATTACAAACATCGTTCATCAAGATTGGTTCCTGTGTTAACCTCCAAGTCATACCATCTTGCCTGTCTTGTTCTCTTGCATCATTAAAATGAAAAACAAACACCTGTTTAAGGAACATTTAGAACTTCACCCCCTAAGTCACTCATGTTTCTTTATACAGGATCTGGTGCAAGACACGTTGCCTTTGAAGTACGGCTACAGAAGGAAATCCATTCTGTGCAAATGGGTGGAAAGCTCATTTTTGATACGTTACTGTACAACAATGGCGGCGGATTTGAAGCTTCATCTGGTATATTCACAGCACCTGTGTCTGGATCGTATATTTTCTGGGCTCAAGTAATGCTAGATCAAGTGGAATCATATCTGGAGATATACCTAGTCCAGAATGGCCACATCAAAGGCAAAGGGTATGCAGAGACCTCAAAGGAGACAGTATACGGCGTTGTTTCCATAACAACAGTCATGTATCTCTCTGCTGGGGATGAAGTATGGTTTGAAAAGTGGAAAGGATCACAGAACATTTATGGAAGCCTTTATTCCGGATTTGGAGCTGCCCTCATTTCGTCTTGAATATTCAGTTATAGACACAAAATCCAAATAGCTGCCCAACTTACTGTAGCGGTTTATGGCTTGAGGTAATTCTGTGTTAATAAAATGAATCGACACATCACTATTTTGGTCAATGTCTTTTTTCTTACTTGAGTGAGTGATAAAAATGAAAACCACTAGGCTACCAAACCTTCCTCAAAGACAAATAATACATCCAATAGATGCGAAAAAGTAGGGGATTTAGGTTTTGGGATCACACGATAGGACCAAAATTAGGCAATGAAGAAAACTGTTCCATCGACAAGAACAGTTCATAGTTCTCCATAACAACATAGTCATGAAGCATGTGGCTCCTGATAGCAGATGCAAGGTGGGCTGCCTGATTTACGTTGTTGTCTTGGAACCGTAATATATTTTACACATTTAGTCATTACGGAAGGAAAAGGTATGATCATGGGGCGCGGTGGGCGAGCTGGCGAGCGCCAGGCTAGTGATCCAGCGAGGTTGAGGTGTTGGGATCGAGCCCACCTGTGACCGGGTGTAAAAATCTTGGAGTCAACTTTGTGTGCAGACTCTTTCAGTGTTGTCACAACCCCTAGTGTACAGTACACAACCCTGTGCACTTAAAAGAACCCACGAATCCGTTGGTATTTGACCAGATGTTGGCCACATGAATACGTGCAAACACCTATTTGCGGGTACAGCAACGTGCAGTGAACATGGACAAAGTACTGTGAGTATGTGTCCCAGTCCACCCAGCTGTAAATGGGTACCTCGTTAGGATGAGAAAGCCACAATAACTCGGTGCGCCTAGTGGCTGCAAGAGTTGTATACTCCCCAGGGAGTTGAGATTGATAATGCGATGTGCCGTAGAGATTGACATCCAATAATCGAGGGGAAAAATACCAGCGCCTTGAGCATGCACTAGTGCGTGGATATGTGCGCTATATCAATATCCTATAATAAATAAATAATAAAAATCATGAATGGAGTGTTACGTTTAACAGGCAGACGTCAGAATATTGGATCCGTGAAGACCAAGGTTAGAACTGTTCTTCAGTAACCCATGCTTGTCTTAAGCGACGACTACTGGGATCAGGTGGTCCGGCTCACTGACTTACTTGACACATGTCATTGTTGATCACTGGATTGTCTGATCCAGACTCAATTATTTACAGACTAGAGCCACATAGCTGGAATATTGATGAGTGCGCCATTAAACGCAAAATAGGTGTCCACATATGCCATTTGCGTGAACGGTGTTCACGAGCCAATCCACAAGTTACTGCAAGTCATTTACGTCAGAGGTGTCAGTGGTGTAGGTAACGATTATACATTGCATGGGCAATGCGATGAGAGCATCCCGCCTTTCTGCTGGCAACCGATACAAACATCTGCTTTCCTCATCTGGTAACTAATGATCAGTTTGGTTGATTTAGTTTAGACTCACAACATACATTAAACAACATCTGGGTAAAATATGATGGCTATTTTAAATGTACACGTAGGTGCTATATTATTCATCACAGAACCTATCCATCATTTGTTTCTGTTATTCATTCACCTTGTAAAGTCGAAGACATACACTGCCAGTCAGCCAAAAGGTCTGTAGTGAAGCTAGTCTACTTTCGATATGAACCATTCATCACACAGACACTTAGACCTTATCTTACCTTGTCTGTATTTTAATAAAGTCTTAAAACGCTTTTAATTAATGCAGTCATTTGATAGCTTATGTTTGGCACATCCGTGCAGCTTGTAAATAGATGCGTCTTTACCGTACATTCGGGCAATAGCGGACAATATAAAACAGTTGAATACTTGTTTACTCCTACTCACACTTACTCATACTGTGGTATGTATTATGAATTTAGAACTAGTTTTAGTCACGATATTGCTGAAATATTGCCGATGTGACTTTAAATCTGAACTCACTCACTCACTCACTGATACTGTGACTGAAATTGGTGGTAGTGCTCTTTGCTGGAACAGATCTCTAAAACCGTTCCATGTTTCTACACCAAACGGGGCACATAGATAGGTCTGGTGGTGAACTGGTGATGAGTCTTTGCCATACATTCAGTTAACATACAATATAAAAGAGATGAATGCTTGTTTATTTGTATTCATACTTACCAGAAAGTCGTAGTCAGACAGGGGAATCTCCCTTTAGCAGCGTCTTTAAGTTTACATAGGAAAGGTTGCGTTGCTTTACTTATTTTCATAATAATTACTTAAAGAGATGAATTGCGGTTAGAATTGGTCTTTAGCAACTCATGCTCAACGTAGGATATGACTCCCGAGTTCGGGTAGTCAGGCTCGGTGATTCGGCTGACACGTCCCAAAATGCGTAAATTAATGTTCATGATGTTGATCACTGGATTGCGTGGTTTTAGACTCAATTATTTACAAACACCCCCCCACACACCATATAGCTGGAATATTGCTGGGTGCGGCGTTAAACAACAAACAAACAACTCACTGGTCTGTGAAAAAGAATTAAATTCACTAACATTACTCTGCTCACCAGTATCAGTAAAAGTAATTAACGTGAACGTAATCCTGGAAAAGATTAACGGGTCCTTATATATTCATTGTTTGACCATTCTCATGTTCACTTGTGGCGACACAGAACTAACAAAACAATTTCTTAGAGTGGCACTTTAGAAGTTTGGATGTTTAAGACTGACAAACTCTGCATTAGCCAAATAATGTCTTAAAGTATCATGGGGAAAAGTAACTATGCTGAACTGGACGAATCGATACCAAGACCACTTCAGAGGTACATTTTTAGCATTCAGGAATTTTATCTGACAGCCACATCTTGTTAAGTCAATGGCCTGTAGTCAAACGAGTTTTCAAAATAGATATTCAGATGCTTCTTTATTCACAAACCTTTTAACGAAACGTCTTCTTGGATGTGGGATAAATGATTCCTTTTCAGAAAAAGAGATTCTTTCGTGGAAACAACTCGTGCAAACGAATACACTGACGGAAAACGTATGTATTTTGCTTCACTTTGTGTAGCCTGGAATGTAGAAATGCAAGAAATATCTGATATTTATGTCACTTTCCACCGGTCGGTAATTTAGAAGCTTTTGATAAAACTCTCAAGTGTATCTGTCTATTGCATAAAACAAAGCGTACTCTTCTGATTGTGATTATAAATTTAGTGAACTCGTCAGTGTTATTGTCCTGCTTTCCCTATGAGCGAAATGTTCCAACTACTATGACTGTGTACGTCGTTTGCAGTAAAACACGCTTGGTGGCTGAAATGTTGTGTACTGATATTGGTGAAAGTAACATGTGTGATGAGTTACACTCACGATAATGATGAAGTATTCGTAGAAAATACAGACGGTAATAGTGGTGTTATATTATTTTTATATATATACTTTGTTCTGTAAGTATTTGGTAGTTAGTTCTGTGCCATGCCATTAAGTAACCCGAACATTTTTACCTGGCAATGTAGCACACGCTGCAAATTCTACAAGAGTGTGTAGAATAGCTTTTAGCAATATTCCAGCAAATACATTTTACACATGTGGGAAATCGAACTTGTGTTTTGGACGTGACGAGTGAACACTTCAACCATCAGGCTATCCCACCACCCCTCAAATTCTGAGATGGACCTCCTAAGTGTATCTCTTGCGATAAAGTATTCACCATCAAGGATATTCTGCTTGACTGTGTGGATTTTTCAACTGTGTGGGACTCACATTATGTGGCAAAGGGACTCACATTATTTGGCAATAAATTTGAAAGATATGTTTACCCGCGTGAGGGGGCCATCTGATTGTTAACTACTTGAGAGAGATTGATCTGTATCATAAATTGTAATTGTGTAATGTTTGAGACAAATTGCTTGTTTTAACATTCTGTGCCATGACATTTTCTATTTGTGGATAAACATGTGATGAATAAATATGTCTTTAAGAAACTCATTTGAACTCTGTACTTTAAATGTGTATGTCTGCTGACTTGGTCCCGTCGCTATATGGCTGAAATGATGCCGATGCGACGTAAAATTCAACTAAACTCAACTCAACTCAAATTCTACACGAAATTCCCTTTCGGTGAGATAGAAGCTTGGAGTTTGTTTGAGTTACCCGAAGGCATCAATATTTGCTGGAATATTACAGCCTTGCATATAGGTTTTCTTCTCGTCGTTATATTTCAGGGTCTGTGTGACAGACTAGTCAGGTCAGGCCATCGGGTACTGCTTCGTGTATGTGCTATAATGTGTGCTTAATGTAACACGTTTGTCAATGTCTATACCGACGTATATGTATAACTCGATAATGTGCTGTTGTGTTTATGAAGTCTTTCTGTAAGATACAGTTTCTGTGAAGATTAGCTGCTATTGATGACATATTTTTGTGTTCAATTTTGTCTATTATGAAACTCAAGATTTGGGAGTTACCCACAATCAAACACGGGTATTGTAGGTTATGTCCCTTCTTTTGTTGTCCAAATAGTGCTATTAGTTTTAATTTTCCACACTAGTTTTAGTTGTAATTGTGATATTCTAGTTGTTTTACTGTCCTTCGTCGGCAGGCTTTTATAATATACATCTATTCCATTTCAATGTCACATATGTTCTCGTCACGATCCTCCAAATGTTTTCCCTTCTTATTGTATAAATTGTTCTCGTCACGATTAGGCTGAGATATTGCCGATGTGACGTTAACTATTAACTCATTCACTCTTTTCCGTGTGTGTGTGTGTGTGTGTGTGTGTGTGTGTGTGTGTGTGCGCGAGCGAGCTTAAGTACGGGCATACAATGTTGAAAATTATCTCAGAAACTGTAGCCACAGGCATTTAAACACCCCTCTGTAATGTACTGCCCGGGCAAGGATGTAACTGAATGCATTTCTACAACATTTACAAACATTCCCGGGCACGGCATAGATCTGAAGATGACCAAATGATTTGGAATACCTGCAAATGAATACATTCCATCAATAACAAAACTATTTCAAATGTCAATACATCGGCTTTTACGTGCTGTGATTATTTGTTATCTTCCCACGAACACTTGGCTATTTACGTAATTATTCTTCATTGCATTCTAAACTGGTAGCATCTCATCGTAACATCAACAAATTTATAGTGGACCATTTGAATTGTTTATTACAGACATTATTTTATATGTGTGTTAAATATTACTGCATGCCGAACAGTCGTCAAGATTCACATTATTTTACTTAACTTGTAGTAACATCCAGAAAAAGAAAGATGCTTCCTTACAGTTTCTTATTTCTAAACTGGTAGCACATCATCATAACATTAACAAATTTGTAGTGTGCCATTTGAATTGTTCATTGCAGACATTATTTTATATGTGTGTTAAATATTATTGCATGCCGAACAGTCGTCAAGCTTCACAATATTTTACTTTACTTGTGGTAACATCCAGAAAAAGAAAGATGCTTCCTCATAGTTTCTTATTTTCACCGTCCGGGATACACCTAATTGCTTTTGTTCACTGTATTCTAAACTGGTTTGCATAATGTCTATACATTAATAGCATCAAGGTGGAACATTGGTACACTTACTAGTGTTGGTTGTAGGCTTCCTTGTACATATTTGCTGAATATTATGGAGACCGCCTCCGTGGTGTAGTGGTTAGAGCGTCCGCCCGGAGAGCGGAAGGTCACGGGTTCGATCCCCGACTGCGTCATACCAAAAGACGTTAAAATAGGGTACTTGTTGGTCCCTGCCTGGCGCTCAGCATTAATGGGTACAACAAGGACTGGTCGGCTCGGAGTCAGTATAATGTGTCTGGGAGGGATATTCATGCTTCACTGCGGCAAGGTATCTCAGTGAGCTAGCACTATAAAACCAGCTTCAGTTTGGGCTAGTACAAGCAGCCGCACATACACATACACACGCATGCACGTCGTCATATGAGCGAAATATTCTCAAGCACGACGTAAAACCCAATTTCACCTCACCTCACCTGAATATTATGGACATGCCTTCAAGTCAGTGAGTTCAGCAGTATATTACTTTACTTGCAGACACATCGAGGTACAGAAAGATGTTTCCTGGTAGAGGACGTGACTTCATATTCCAGGTAGTTGGCGCAGTTTTTATCACGACCGTCACTGGAACCTTTGACCTAAAGATGCAGCCGGTTGGACCTGAATTGTGCAAATATCACTGTGCCCAAATCAATGGGTGCACATTTTGCATGTTTCTAGTACAAAGGCTAGCCTGCATTGCTGCATGGTCCAAAGCCCCGCCACACACTAAAGGAGAGGGGACAGTCTCTTTAGATATCACCAAGGTAACGGTTGTTTTCTATGACTCTCTGGAATACCAAAGTACAGAGTTAGGTCTCATATTTGCATGACAAGTTGTGAAAACCCACTTAAGGCTTTGCAGATGCAACTTGACAATAATTAACTCAACAGTGACTAAACATCTCTGTTCTGATCAATGCATTTTGGGATCTGTGTCTACTTGAAAATGCATGTTATGACAGTTAATAAAAGAAATGGAATTCAACTAATACGTATAATCGTACATATGAACATATATGTGTGTGTGTGCGTGTGTGTCTGTGTGTGCGTGTGTGTGTCAGAAAGCATTGGAGTCAACATCAGGGCCAGTCAACAGTTACTGTACCCAAAAGCCTTGAGATGCAATTGTGATGGATACGGTCCCTCAGCTACCCCTTGTTTGTAGGCATAAGATGAAATTATGCTACTGACCATAATTATACGCTTATGGTCTCTTTTAAACATTGTTAGTAATTGGTATGAGAGTATGCATACAGTTTCTGTCATAGGTAATACCAAGAACCTTTTCTCAAAGTAAGGAGCTATGTACAGAGAGACCATCAAGGGGGATTTTTTCCCGGTCGAAAGGCCTTCGCTGTATAAAACGTAAGTGTTGATTATTTGCTCTTGAAACTATTTGAAGAAACTCATTTAGAATGTTGCTGATTCCAAAGAGTGTAGCAGTCGGAATCCTACAACTATGCATGTACATTTACCTACTTACTTAATCCCCCTTCGTGCTCTTAGCTTATTACATAAGGCCGTTACTAGAGTTTTCCAATGCTGTCTATCCTGGGCCCATTGCTGCACCTGTCCCCAGGTCCACCCTACGACCTTCATCTCTGCCTCCACAGATCTTCTCCATGTCTCCTTTGGACGTCCTCTGTTTGTTTTTCCTGTTGGTATACATCGCATAGCAACCCTTGGTATGGAATCTGGGCGCATCCTGCAGACATGACCGATCCAACGCCATTTTCTCTTCTGGATCTCGAGGGACAGTGGGCTGGTGTTCGTGCGCATGTTCAGTTCTTCTAAAGATTCGCAGTTTGGTAATTGTGCTGATTGATTTTGACCTCCAGATGTTCTTCAGTGAACTGAACACTCCGCTAGCCTTGCCTATTCTTGACTGTACATCTGCTTCTGAGTTGTCATTTGCTGTGATCTTGCTGCCAACATAGTAGACGTCTTGAACTTCGTCGATGTTTGTACTTCCAAGGGATACTGGCAGGATAGATTTGGCATTAATCTTGAGGATATTGGTCTTCTTGGTGTTGATATTCAAGCCAATCGTTTCTCCTGTTGTGGCAAGGTCTTGTGTTTTGCTTTGGATGTCTTGGAAACGTTGGGCGAGCAGGGCAATGTCATCAACAAAGTCAAGATCTTCTAGGCTCTTGGTGAATGTGCAGCTGATTCCTCTTTGCTTGCTCTTGGTGATTCTCTTTAGTACCCAGTCTAAGCAGAGGGTGAAGAGGAGTGGGAATAAGATACAGCCTTGTTTCACTCCTGTTCTGATGTTGAAGTCCTCAGTTACGGTCGATCCACATATGACTCTGGCGCTGAAGTTGTTGTACAGCATCTTCATGATAGAGATTAGTTTGTCTGGAATCCCGTAGTGGGCGAGGATCTTCCAGAGAGTGGCTCTGTCAATACTGTCGAAGGCCTTGGAAAAGTCTATGAAGTTGGCATAGATGGTTGCATTCCATTCGTTACTTTGTTCTATGATCTGTCTGAGGGTAAAGATTTGGTCCATGCATGATCTTCCTTTCCTGAAGCCAGCTTCTTCTTCTCGCATGAGTGTGTCCATGGTTCTCGAAAGTCTGTTGAGGATTACTCGGCTCAGTACTTTGCTGGTGACAGATAGCAACATTATCCCTCTTCAGTTGTCGCAGTTGGTCAAATCCCCTCTCTTTAGCCTGTCTTCCAGGTCTCTGGCGCTTCTTCAGACTCCCAGACGTTTGATATTATGTCTGTTAGTAGCGCTGGTGTTACTGAGTCCTCTGCCTTGAGCATATCTGCATATATCTGGTCCATTCCTGGTGCTTTCCCGTTCTTAAGTGCCCTTATTGCTCTTTTCTCCTCTTCAATGTTCGGTGGTTCTATGCTGATGTCCAGGCTGTCGGCTGCAGGTTCAATGTTTGCTTCTGTATCTGTATCTTCTCGGTTCAGCACTTTCTCGGAGTGTTCTTTCCAGCGCAGCAAGACTTCTTTGGACATGATGCTTCCCTGTTGGTCTCTGACCGGTCCGGCTGCAGTTTGGCATTTCCATGAGAGTGTCTTGGTCAGTCTGTAGAGGGTTTTCATGTCTTGTTTGGATGCTGCTTGCTCGGCTTCCTCTGCTATTGTTTCGATGTATTTCCTCTTGTCTGATCTTGCTCCCTTTTTCACTTCTTTGTCCAAAGCTTTATAGTTTGTCTGCAGTTGTTCTGTTAATCTCTGCGACCTGGTACCAAGGATTTTACTCTTTTTCCCTTTCCGCATTTCTATTTTCCTCCAGGTGTCATCTGATATCCATTCTTCTCTTTTCTTCTTTTTGTGTCCAAACAGCCGTTTTCCTGTTTCCAGTAGCACCTCATTGAACTGCTGAAGGCCAGTGTTCTGCTGTTCCTTAAGCACACTGAATCTGTTCCTCGCCTGAATCTGGAAGGCTTTCTTGATAGATGGATCTTTGAGCTTGGAAATGTTGACACGTGGTGGTCTCTGTCCTTGTCTCCTCACTCGTCTAAGTTTCAGTTTCACTTTAGCCAGTACCATGTATGTACATGTAATGGTATATTATTAATAAGTTGTTAGGATACTAAGTGCACATGAGAGAAAACGGTTCTACAACTGATAATCATTTTGGTCCATATACGAAAACTATTTGCACCATGTAAGGTGCATGCAGATTATGAACTTCTGTTTACAGTTGTGACGCCAACAGTGTGTCCAAATATAAATAACACAGTCATATTCTTACAGTGAAAACAGAAGAACAGACACATGTCCTGGTTTCACCATACATGACCAGTGGTTCGATAGCTCTATTTCGGGTGCTCCACCTTGAGGACAACTCCATTTCAACATATCGTCATATACGCCCACAACATGTCACTGCCATGGCATACGTACCAACACTCCGACAAGTGCTGATGGCAACTTTAGACCCCATGACTATCCAAGCCTTCTCATTACATAATCCTGTCAGTGTTACCGTAGGGAGGAAAATGTTCATCCTGTCAATCGCTGTGGATGATACCAAACAGCTTGTTTTCCTGGCAACAAGGACGCCATATGGCAGTGTAGCTAGTATGGCACCTGATGGAAGAAATGTCAGGAAAATCACCAGTCGGATTCAACCCAAGGTACTTTGCCTTGATACAGGGCGAAATATTTTGTATGCAGCGGACTCTGGATCTATATTTTCATCCTCATACTCTGGGCAGAATTGGCAGAGAATAATAAGATCAGATAACACGTTAGGTCTCACATTAGGCGATCAGGGAAATGTGATGTATTATAATGAAAAGAAAAATATTGTGAGATTGGAGTTGTTCAAAAAAGAAAAAGAGAGAAAAGTTATTGGATTAAATATGTACAGTAGAAACCTACTTTACAGACAGGGTTATCTTTATGTAAGTCATATGCACGAGTGGCATATGTAAGTATTGCATGAGTCTAATTATTCAAGTGTAAGGCAAGTTAATATTAAGTCCTATTACAGACTATTCATAGCTATGATGCCATAAAATGCTTGCAGTGTGGTTTGCTTTTCCAAACTTCATTATTAGTTTAGCATGAAGCAATGCTATCCGTTAAGTAAAACAGATGCCTTCCGTGAAACAAGGCGTCCTTCTGAAATGTGTTTACTGGATCTGTAGCCTTAGGAGGCACCCACTCACTTGCCTGATTGAACGTGTATTGTTATTGTCGTCTATTAAAGCTGTTCTATTCCTCATTATATCTGGCGATCCTATTTTCAATACCTGTTCATCAGTCCTTAGTGTAGTTATTTTAAGTATTTTTAAGTTATTTTAAGGGGATCAGGGCGAAGGGGTTCGAGTCCGTATTACAGGCGTCAAATTATTCAAGTGTAAGGCAAGTTAACATCACGTCTCTTCCGAGACCATTCATAGCTCTGATACCATAAAATGCTTGACTTTTACCTTGATTGTGTCCATTCAGCCCAATATCTCCCTTCCGTTCAACAAGGCGTCTCTCTGCAATGTTTTTACTGGAACATGATCTGTAGGCTGGGAAAGTATCCACTCACTCACCTGATTGAATGTGTATTGTTATAGTTGTTTGTTAACTCTGTTCTATTCATCATCATATTAACTCACTCACTCATCAAATCAGCACGTAGCAAACTCACTCACTCACTCATTAAATAATGGCGATCCTATTTTCAAAACCCGCTAATCAATCGTTAGTGTAGTATTCTTAGACGGTGTTTGAAACCGTTGGGGACATATTCAAATGTAGTTTTCTTCTCTCATGGCGGGGAGGTCGGTGATACGAATCCTGCATCTCAGGTAAACATATTTGGGTATTTTGTAAATGATCGGGTCCAAAGGTTTTATTAGTCTGTGAATCAGTGAGTGTAATCAAAGTGGTAATTTGTAACGATTTCGGGTCTGTTGAATCATCATGCATAAGTGACAGGAACATTTTAGAAACGTACGTATAGTACGTCAGTGCTAAAGAATACCCAGTCCTCAGTAACAAACTCCGAACGGACCACTGAAAATCAGTGATAACTTCTAGGTGTTCAGAAAAAGGGTAAGCATGTTTTGTCCTAGCGGTTGAACTTACCATTCACAAAATATGTAGACATGTCATAGAAGTACAAGAAGTCCATTCGACTTTGATGTGTTGTTGTCGTTCAGGTGCTACACGTGTAGCAGGGAGGTCACAGTGGTACAAAAGACATAAACCCCTGACAATTTGTTGGATCGTTTGAGATAACTTGTTTCACTTGGCACATTGGCCCTCGATATTGGCACTTTGGAAATAAATACTTACATTCAACTTTTGACGAAAGTATGTTTGTGACATCCTTACATTTTGTGTCATATCTTCTCTAAAAAAAACTAGTTTTGTCCTTTGTCCACCACGACAGTGTTAGGCTTGTGGCTGATAATTAGTGGATGGGTGAGTGTGGTTTTATGCCGCTATCAGCAATACTTCATCCCTACCAGGGCAGCGTACACCGGTAATGGGCTATACGCCTTATTCCATTTGGGGAATCGAACCCTGTGGTGTGAAGATCCGGGTTAGGATTGGTCTTCAGCTACCCGCGCTTGTCGTAAGAGATCCTTAGTTTATTATTGTCTGCTGCACTGCTTACCAACAATAGATTTTCTTAAAAACATCTTCCCGATTGAAGACAGAGAGGAAAGGAACATGCTATAATGTGTTTGCAACATAAACAACATCGCCACTTCTATTTTCTAATAACCACATACCATAAACGTGTATGATTCATCTTGCGACAGCTATCTCGCCTCAACAAGTCAAATCGTTTCATTGTTGCTGCCAAACGAAGTCGAATGCAGAAAAACGGGGTTCTGTGACACTCGCTGTTGTAATACCAAATCTGGGCAGGTTACTCTGCTTAATGCTATCTCTAAAGATAAACAGTTTTTACATTTCCATTGCTTTCCGTGTATGTTTTACAAAGGGGATTTTTTTCTTTAATACAATATTGCCTTTTGACCGAAGATTGATTTGTCTCCAAATTGTGAAACATAATTTTCAAATTATTTCCTTATACGGGGATGCATCTCAGCCGCAGTTGTCATTACCTGTGCAAGTTGAAAACTCTGAGTGTCAGATTTCATGCAAGGAAGGTCTAGTTAGTGCACTTTGTTGATCTATTACAAGATATAGTTTAAGCAAAAATAGCAATGTGAACAATACGTAGCAACTTACCATTTCAATCATGATTATACCCACAGGTATCTATGGTGAGGTGGGGCGGGGTCTGGCGAGGCGGGGTAGTCTAGTGGTTAAAGCGGTCACTCGCCACGCCGAAGATCCGGGTTCAATTCCTTACACGGGTACAATGTGTGAAGCCCATTTCTGGTTTCCCCTGCCGTGATGTTGCTGAAATATTGTAAGAGTGGCGTAAAACTCACTCAAAGTCACATAATCAGATTGCTTTCTTGGAATTCTTGAGCATGATCACACGAGTGCTGAAATAGTGAGGTGATAGAACATGTTGGCCCTTGTTTATGTAGGGACTAGCCCACTTTCTAAAATCAGTGGGCCATTTGGCCCGTTTTGTGTAAAGTTGGATGCATCCCTGTCTAATCTCAATGCAAAGTTCCAACACTGCAAATCCTGAAATACATGTGTTGTTTTGGGGACCCAAACATTTAGATTTTGTTTTCATTGTTTTATGAAACAAGAACCTTTCGTTCATTAGCTGATTTTTGCATGAATGTCCCACTGATCAAGAGCTGACAATGAAGATTGTTAAATGAGTAAAGTCGTGTTGGGGAAGGCATTCTGTTGAGGATGTACACGAGCTATGTACATGTATGTCGTTACTTAAGCCGTACACTATACCAAACTGTACTGTGTATTTATTGGATACAACGGATACCAAGGCAGATTTACAAGACACCAAGCCCGACAAGGTTAGCTTTCGTCACATATCAACACTTCTTTGTTAGAATTGACTTTGTTTAATCATAAGGAAATATCTGTTTTGTCATGGAAATTGAACTTTCTTGTTGAGAAGTGGTGGACAAAACATACAGGGCAATCATCAAGGATTTTTTTTCAACAGACTATTTTATGTAGCACAGATAGCAGACAGTTAGGTCCAAGATATGGCATATTCAAAACCATAAAGGATCTTGGTGCCGTTGCACAAAACAACCTCAGCGCTACGATTACCTTAAGTCTGTGTTAAGGTATGGGAGTTAGGTGACCTTAGCGCTACGATTACCTTAAGTCTGTGTTAAGGTATGGGAGTTAGGTGACCTTAGCGCTACGATTACCTTAAGTCTGTGTTAAGGTATGGGAGTTAGGTGACCTTAGCGCTACGATTACCTTAAGTCTATGTTAAGGTATGGGAGTTAGGTGACCTTAGCGCTACGCTTACCTTAAGTCTGTGTTAAGGTATGGGAGTTAGGTGACCTTAGTGCTATGATTACCTTAAGTCTGTGTTAAGGTATGGGAGTTAGGTGACCTTAGCGCTACGATTACCTTAAGTCTATGTTAAGGTATGGGAGTTAAGTGACCTTAGTGCTAAGATTGCTTTGAAGAACGTCATCCTGGTTGTATGTAAAGGCTACCATTCAAAAAGGTATGTGGATAGATCTTTATTGCAATTGATGTGATGTTTCAGGTGTAGATGCCAACACCATTATCATTTGCTTGATAATGGTCTTATGATCTGCAGGGAAATGTCACACCTATTGCAATAAAGAAATTGTGTGTCCATAAAAAGTGTTCCTCTTCATCATGCCAGCTTGTAAATGCCATTTGAAAGGGTCCTCTTTTTCTTGAAACATTGTTTTCTTGCAGAGATGACTTGGGCAAAGACATAGAAGTGGCATTCAGTACTATGGAGGATGTGGTTGTAGAAGGCCAACATTCAAAATTAGCCTTGCATGAGTCCAAATGATGCATGATACTCAGTTTGATTGATCTCATTTTGTGAAGGGACATTTATCCAAATATTCGACCCAGTTCTTACCCTTTCAGTTTCAAAAGCCTAATGCTGTCTGTTTTGTAGCATCAAAATATTTTTTTCTGAACATCCTTTTGCTTCGATTATTTACCTGTTGCAACGAGTATTTTCTAATTACTTTAATTATTATCTCTTTGCAATTTCGCGTTGTTTCAATTTGATGTCGAAACCTTGAAATTTTGAGTATTTCCTCATTGCTTCGAAAATATTTCCCCATTACTTCAAAACAGTTGCAGCAATGAGTAAATAATCGAAGCAGAGAGAAAATAATCGAAACGAGAACTGAAAAATATGTTTCATGTAACTAAAGTGTCGGCGCTTTCATATTCAGAAGTATCAACCAAATTGTGCTGTTTGTCCAATGCCTGAAAGCTGATAGAGAGAATGGAGGATGTTTGGGCTGAACATGAACTTATACACTGCCATGAAGTAAGCAGCTTGAGCTGGTTGACTGAGAAGCATTGTTCGGTCTCTCCGTCTGTAACAGGATGCTGCCAGAATTGTGTTTGTGTTCACGCAATACTATCTCTCTTTGTTCTTTATTAAACTGCTCTAATTACTTTCACAGTTTAAGATGTTTCGGTGGCATGTTTGTCAAACTACCTAGGTATTGTTTTCTTCTGTCAAGTGTCAATGCTGATGTTTTTCCAGATTTTAGCTCAAAGATAAATGTGACTAACTTGATACGGGCAAAGTTAAAAAAAGAGTAAAATCCAAGGTCCTGAGATTTGGCATTAAATTATTGTGCATCAAATTGAACGTCTATGCAGTTAACTTCAGTTGTTTCAAGGAGTAAGGATATTATTTTGTTGGGAATATTTGGTGTTGCTGCCTGAACTATACTATGCCAGGGGCGGATCCTGATGGGTATGGGGGGTTGGGGTGCGCAGCCACCCTTCTCCCCAGAAAAAAATTCCCTGAGGAGCATTTCCCCCCTAACCTTGAGACTTCATGATTTATGTGCACCCTGAATCCGCCCCTGCATGCGATGCATTGTAGTTTTACAAACATTTGTTTTTGCCTGTATACACTTGTTAGAATTGTTAGCCTAGTGACTTCACACACCACAGAAATAGAATCATTTGTACATGTCCGATGTTTGTGAAATATTTTAGAATAAATAGCTTTTTATTTTGATCTTCGTGTTGTGTTTATTGATATATACCCAGTCTCAGGACGTTTCTATTCAAGGAGGAGGATGTCAAGCTGTGATGTTATTTGAAGCCGTGGACCTATCGCGGTCCAGTGATGACAGGAATGGCCCTATTTGTTGCCTTATGTATTGTGTGTCTTCAAGCCTTAATGACTGAACTTGATGCTTACGTTATCGACCACTGGGTTGCCTTGTTTACAGGACTGTTTGCTCACTTTGTACTTGATCAACAGTCTCTCCCATTGATTTATGTAAAATATTCAAACTATATCTCAGCTGTCAAATTATCAAGTCTGGACCAGACAATCCACTGATCAACAGCTTTTAAACTCTACATCCACCCAGTAATTGAATAATTAAACGAGGCTTACCTGTAAGGTGAAGTTTGATTGAGATTCTCCGAGGCATCAGGGAACAGTGAGGTCACGTGAGATTGCGCGTGAGGAATTGGGTCAGTCTTTAAAGCGTTTGCTCAAGGAAATGACGTTAAAACCTAGCTGAATAAGCTGGGAGGGGGGATGAGGCACGTGACCTCACTGTTCCCTGATGCCTCGGAGAATCTCAATCAAACTTCACCTTACAGGTAAGTCTCGTTTAATTATTCAATTCTCCTTCGGCATCAGGTCAAGTGAGTCCCCGTAAGACTTCAAAGCATGTCCAAAGAGCAAACAACAAGAAGTGAATATCCACAAGTCTTTAATATCCAATATTTCACTTCTAGCTAAACCGGTTGGACATTCTCAAACAAGTCACAGGTGTTAATCTGTCTTGCTAGTCTTCGACAGAGAAAGTACTGCTTGACCAAAGGTCTGAACCTGCTCTACAGGTCTATGATAAAACCGAGCAAACACATCTGCAGATGCCCAGCCTGCAGCTGACATGATGCACTGAATCTGTACCCCCTGGCTAAGCGCTGCACTTGTAGACGCAGCTCTGGTACTATGCCCTGAATACTTAGTAATGTCAATGCCAGCACCACACAGCACTAATTTGAGCCATCTGGAAATAGTCTCTCTAGTCACCGCTTTATACGGCTCATTAAAACTAACAAAAAGTTGCTGGTCTTTCCTCAAATGTTCCGTCCTCTGTAAATATGCATCTAGGCATTGAACAACACACAGCTTCTCATTATCAAACGTCTCAAGTTCTATAGGCTGTACATGCACCCCTGGTCTTGACTGTTTGACTAAACTAGCTACAGAAAAAATTACTTTGTCATCTACTCTATTAATATGATCTAAGCATAGTGACTGCAGGGATTGCACTCTCTGACCACTAACTAAAGCTAACAACATATTTAATTTTAATGTTAACATTCTAAGAGATAGATCTACATTTCTCCCTAGGGATTCTAAGTGGTCCAACACTATTTTCACATTCCATGTCATCTGATACTTAGGCAGATTAAATGTTCCTCCGAGATCTGACAAATGCACCACAATGATGTTCGACTAAATGTTCCTCAGAGATCTGACAAATACACGACACTGATGTTCGACTAAATGTTCCTCCGAGATCTGACAAATGCACCACATTGATGTTCGACTAAATGTTCCCCAGAGATCTGACAAATACACGACACTGATGTTCGACTAAATGTTCCTCCGAGATCTGACAAATACACCACATTGATGTTCGACTAAATGTTCCTCAGACATCTGACAAATACACGACACTGATGTTCTACTAAATGTTCCTGAGAGATCTGACAAATACACCACATTGATGTTCGACTGAATGTTCCTCCCAGATCTGACAAATACACGACACTGATGTTCGACTAAATGTTCCTCAGAGATTTTACAAATACACCACATTGATGTTCGACTGAATGTTCCTCAGAGATCTGACAAATACACCACATTGATGTTCGACTGAATGTTCCTCAGAGATCTGACAAATACACGACACTTATGTTCTACTGAATCTTCCTCAGAGATCTGTAAAATACACCACACTGATGTTTGACTAAATGTTCCTCAGAGATCTGACAAATACACGACACTCAGTTCTACTGAATGTTCCTCAGAGATCTGACAAATACACCACACTGATGTTCGACTAAATGTTCCTCGGAGATCTGTAAAATACACCACACTGATGTTGGACTGAATGTTCCTCAGAGATCTGTCATATACACCACCCTTATACATTCACGTGATCACTAAATATTCACATTATAGATTTCTGTACAAAACTTCAACATCAAAGAAAACATAAAACAGGGGTATCTATATATAAACAGGTGTATCTATATGTATTGGTTCAAATTATACATAACTGCAGATAAACACATTGTTTGATTTTTCGTGAACAAAAAATCGGAATTAATCGATACAGATTAATATAATCACATCACATCATGTACTATCATCGGTCGTCTATTTAGGAGATAAACATCATGTGTTGGCCAATTTGCTCATTTGTGACGTCAATACGACTTTACGTCACAATATTATTTGAATGACGTCACCACTGCCGACGACGCAACAATACAATGGTTGTCTATTTTTGGGTGCTTACCGGACAGATGAAAGGTGAACATGCTCAATCCAACAATAATATACATAAGTTATGTCACAATGATCAACTCGGATCAAGGCGAGGTGAAATTGGGTTTAACGTCGTGCTTGAGAATATTTCGCTCATATGACAACGTGCAAGCGTGTGTATGTGGATGTGCGGCTGCTTGTACAAGCCCAGACTTAAGCTGGTTTTATAGTTCTAGCCCACTGAGATACCATGCCGCAGTGAAGCATGAATACTCCACTCAGACACAATATACTGACTCCGAGCTGACCAGTCCTTGTTGTACCCATTAATGCCGAGCGCCAGGCAGGGACCAACAAGTACCATATTTTAACGTCTTTTGGTAACGCTGTCGGGGATCGAACCCGGTACCTTCCGCTCTCCGGGCGGACGCTTTAACCACTACACCATGGAGGCGGTATTAACTCACTCACTCACTCAAATTTTCTTGGGCAATGCTTCTGCATTGACGTACCCTGAAGAAGGTAGGGCAGGACCCTGAGTTGTGTCAGTAGGGGGTCCAGTGAAGGTTGTTGGGGGCAGTGCGTTGGTGATCGGTGCTTGACCGGAGTTGTTGACCAGCGGGACCAGAGCTACTTGATACTGCACGGGAACGGCGTTGGCTGCTGTGCGTTGGCCGAGCTTATTGGTGTTTATGCAGATTACAATTATCACTAGTAGCAAAAAAAATGCGCCACCAATCGAGCCCCCAATAATGACTCCGATATTAGAACCTGTAAAATATGATGATACACAAACATTAGAAAATACACGGTTATTTGTGTAAGAAACATGTACCAAGGCATCTGAGGCGCAAAGCTTGATTTCTCACATCCCTACTCAAACACGATGCTATACGTTGTGTTTGGCTCACAGCCGTAGTTGTGTAACAAGTACAAACAAGTGTGTAACAAATACAAGTATCTAACAAGTACAAAATATACAAATATTAAAATGTTCTGGAAAAAGCAATCTATTTTAATATGTCTTGTCTTATGTTCCTGTTTGGAATCAATTAAGAACACCTTAAACAATAATACAATTGTCAGTGAAAAGGTTTACACTTTCACAAGTCCATGATTTAGTTATAGTCACCACTGGGTCATGGGTCAAAAGTAGTTCCTATGCAAATTAGCCAAGTCTTAATGAGGTCAGGTCTGCTGTCTTGTCCTTGGTTTTTATTGGCTGAAGATGTGCAGCATCTTGATTGGATGCTGAATTTAGTTGCATTTGGAAAGTGTGAAGTTTGTTCACTTGCTGTCTTTCTCCCAACCTGGCAAGGTGGTTTGAAAGTCATGGGTGGTGGATTGTGACTTTGGTGAATTACAGGTTAGTTACATTTGGTTTTATATAAAAGGAATAAACTACAAAAATATGTTTAATTGTTGAAAGGTTAATTCAGTATTTATTGTAACTGAATTTATGGCTTTTGGTGGAGGTATATTTTGACCTATGGTTAGAAATTGTTGGTGTCAATAATTTCACTTACAATTGATTCAGATTAATGTTTGAGTCCAAACAGTTTGTACGTTTACTTTGCTGGTGAGAATTAGCATTTACATGCTAATTAAAACATGCATATTTTAGGTTCTTGGTGTTTTGTTGGTGCCTCACAACATGTGGCCAGTTTGAAGCAAGTTGTCCCATAGATGGTAAGACACGTTGATGTTTCATTGTTTTGAAGATGCCAAAGGTGTTCCATAATTCCTAAGGATCTTAATATGAACCTGAACCATTAATTTTGTGATGTCAGTTTGTTTTGAGTTATTTTTATATGTTCAATGGTAGAGCTGTGATTGTTAATTATCTGAACAATGTGCAATGAAAAGAATGAATGTGATAAAATAGGTATTTTGATGGAATGTTATATATTCATATACATTGTTTCAAACTAGTATTATTATATACAAACTACAGTAATAAAAAGGAACTTGCAGCCTCAACGGAGTTGTGTCATTGTAAAAGAGCCATCCCCGTTACAGTTGCACTATGGCCACCAAAGACTTAAATAATATCTACGTTGTTTGCTTTCGATCAGTTTTCTCACCATTAAATATAGCGTTCCTGTATATTGTTACACTTAATTTCATAAAGGCGAGACATCGTGGATCTTTAAGGTTCTTCAGTAATGGCTCTGTTTCTGCAAGGTTCAGGGATGGTGGAGTAGCCTAGTGGTTAACGCGTTTCACTCGTCACACCGAAGACCCGAGTTCGATTCCCCACATGGGTACACTGTGTGAAGCCCATTTCTGCTGTCCCTCGTCGTGATATTGCTGGAATGTTGCTAAACGCGTCGTAAAACTAACTCACTCACTCACTCTAACCTCTCCTAAAGGGTTATTGTTGAAATGATCACATTGCAGATCCAACTCACATGTACACACAGACCCATATGCTTCCATACTTTTTGAAATGATCACATTGCAGATCCAACTCACATGTACACACAGACCCATATGTTTTCACACTTATTCAAATGATCGCATTGCAGATCCAACTCACAGGTACACACAGACCCATATGTTCAAATACTTATTGAAATGATCACATTGCAGATCCAACTCACATGTACACACAGACCCATATGTTTCCACACTTATTGAAATGATCACTTTGCAGATCCAACTCACATGTACACACAGACCCATATGTTTCCACACTTATTGAAATGATCACATTGCAGATCCAACTCACATGTACACACAGACCCATATGTTCAAATACTTATTGAAATCATCACATTGCAGATCCAACTCACATGTACACACAGACCCATATGTTTCCACACTTATTGAAATGATCACATTGCAGATCCAACTCACATGTACACACAGACCCATATGTTTCCATACTTATTCAAATGATCACATTGCAGATCCAACTCACATGTACACACAGACCCATATGTTTCCATACTTATTCAAATGATCGCATTGCAGATCCAACTCACATGTACACACAGACCCATATGTTTCCACACTTATTCAAATGATCACTTTGCAGATCCAACTCACATGTACACACAGACCCATATGTTTCCACACTTATTCAAATGATCACTTTGCAGATCCAACTCACATGTACACACAAACCCATATGTTTCCATACTTATTGAAATGATCACATTGCAGATCCAACTCACATGTACACACAGACCCATATGTTTCCACACTTATTGAAATGATCGCATTGCAGATCCAACTCACATGTACACACAGACCCATATGTTTCCACACTTATTGAAATGATCACATTGCAGATCCAACTCACATGTACACACAGACCCATATGTTTCCACACTTATTGAAATGATCGCATTGCAGATCCAACTCACATGTACACACAGACCCATATGTTTCCACACTTATTGAAATGATCACATTGCAGATCCAACTCACATGTACACACAGACCCATATGTTTCCATACTTATTGAAATGATCACTTTGCAGATCGAACTCAGATGTACACACAGACCCATATGTTTCCATACTTATTGAAATGATCGCATTGCAGATCCAACTCACATGTCCGCAGAGACCCATATGTTTCCATACTTATTGAAATGATCACATTGCAGATCCAACTCACATGTACACACAGAAACATATGTTTCCATACTTATTGAAATGATCATATTGCAGATCCTACTCACATGTACACACAGACCGATATGTTTCCACACTTATTGAAATGATCACTTTGCAGATCCAACTCACATGTACACACAGACCCATATGTTTCCACACTTATTGAAATGATCGCATTGCAGATCCAACTCACATGTACACACAGACCCATATGTTTCCACACTTATTGATATGATCACATTGCAGATCCCACTCACATGTACACACAGACCCATATGTTTCCATACTTATTGAAATGATCGCATTGCAGATCCAACTCACATGTCCACAGAGCCCCATATGTTTCCATACTTATTGAAATGATCACATTGCAGATCCAACTCACATGTACACACAGACCCATATGTTTCCACACTTATTGAAATGATCGCATTGCAGATCCAACTCAGATGTACACACAGACCCATATGTTTCCACACTTATTGAAATGATCACATTGCAGATCCAACTCACATGTACACATAGACCCATATGTTTCCATACTTATTGAAATGATCACTTTGCAGATCCAACTCACATGTACACACAGACCCATATGTTTCCATACTTATTGAAATGATCGCATTGCAGATCCAACTCACATGTCCGTAGAGACCCATATGTTTCCACACTTATGAAATGATCGCATTGCAGATCCAACTCACATGTCCATACAGACCCATATGTTTCCAACTAATTGAAATGATCACATTGCAGATCCAACTCACATGTACACACAGAAACATATGTTTCCATACTTATTGAAATGATCATATTGCAGATCCTACTCACATGTACACACAGACCGATATGTTTCCACACTTATTGAAATGATCACTTTGCAGATCCAACTCACATGTACACACAGACCCATATGTTTCCACACTTATTGAAATGATCGCATTGCAGATCCAACTCACATGTACACACAGACCCATATGTTTCCACACTTATTGATATGATCACATTGCAGATCCCACTCACATGTACACACAGACCCATATGTTTCCATACTTATTGAAATGATCGCATTGCAGATCCAACTCACATGTCCACACAGCCCCATATGTTTCCATACTTATTGAAATGATCACACTGCAGATCCCACTCACATGTACACACAGACCCATATGTTTCCATACTTATTGAAATGATCACTTTGCAGATCCAACTCACATGTACACACAGACCCATATGTTTCCATACTTATTGAAATGATCGCATTGCAGATCCAACACACACGTACACACAAACCCATATGTTTCCACACTTATTGAAATGATCACATTGCAGATCCAACTCACATGTACACACAGACCCATATGTTTCCATACTTATTCAAATGATCACATTGCAGATCCAACTCACATGTACACACAGACCCATATGTTTTCACACTTATTCAAATGATCACTTTGCAGATCCAACTCAGATGTACACACAGACCCATATGTTTCCACACTTATTGAAATGATCACATTGCAGATCCAACTCACATGTACACATAGACCCATATGTTTCCACACTTATTGAAATGATCACATTGCAGATCCAACTCACATGTACACACAGACCCATATGTTTCCATACTTATTGAAATGATCGCATTGCAGATCCAACTCACATGTACACAGAGACCGATATGTTTCCACACTTATTGAAATCATCACTTTGCAGATCCAACTCACATGTACACACAGACCCATATGTTTCCACACTTACTGAAATGATCGCATTGCAGATCCAACTCACATGTACACACAGACCCATATGTTTCCACACTTATTCAAATGATCACTTTGCAGATCCAACTCACATGTACACACAAACCCATATGTTTCCATACTTATTGAAATGATCACATTGCAGATCCAACTCACATGTACACACAGACCCATATGTTTCCATACTTATTACAATGATCCCATTGCAGATACAACTCACATGTCCACACAGACCCATATGTTTCCACACTTATTGAAATGATCGCATTGCAGATCCAACTCAGATGTACACACAGACCCATATGTTTCCACACTTATTGAAATGATCACATTGCAGATCCAACTCACATGTACACATAGACCCATATGTTTCCACACTTAT